CAGATGATGTCAGTCTTTAATAAGTAAATGAATGAATGAATGAATGAATGAATGAAAGAATGAAATAAAAAGGCAAAAGAGGGTTCGGAAAAGTAAATGAACTTGACATTAGAAAGAGCATTGATATCGGCAAAAATCAATAGTGTATCGGATATATTCAAACTAAAGGAAACAAAAGAAACGCATATAGTAGACATTTAAGTTTTCGAAAGCACTAATAAGTCGATAGATACGGGCAGGCAGGCAGGCAGGCAGGCGGGAAAACAAACACAAGCAGACAGACACACTGCTTAAACGTTTAGTGCACGGAAAACGGAAATGAAAAAAAAAAAAGAAAAAAAATATCAATATTTATGATACAAAGAATTTTATAAAAAAAAAAAAAAAATTATGAGAAGTTTACGTGTTTACATTTACCCGACTCTAGTCTCCAGTCAACTTCATTATTACAGACGCAGCCAACTATTTTAACTGAATACATACATATTCAGTCATCTTATGGAATTAAAAGAGGAAAAAAAAAAAAAAAGAAGAGAACCGTTGCCATTGTCTGTCTGTCTGTCTGTCTGTCTGTCTGTCTGTTTGTACTGTATAAACAAAGAATTTATTAGGAAAGAATTGTGTTCTACATGTATACATGGAGATGTATGCTTAGCATATTTGTACGCCGTATGAACAAATTTACAATTGTCGGGTGTATTTCCCATTTGCAATGGAAACTTTCATATCGTGTTAATGTGAATTTTTTTATTTATTTATTTTTTTTTTTTTCAATTTCCTCTCCTCCTGTAACTTACTGCTTACATAATGAACTTTTGTTTTTAATAAACGTTCAAGCATTGACATTGAATTATAGGTACATCGTCGGATCTGCTTCTTTTTTTTTTTTTTTTCCTTTTGTTTTTTCTTTTTCTTTTATTAAAGAAGAGAAAATTACTTTATTAAATGCTTTTTTGAGTGAAACTTTGCATTCATATGTCAACAGAGCAATATAGATGGCGCTTTTTGAATAAAATGAAAATTACCGAATGTTCTGGTACATCCGATTTAAAAATATCATATTACATTCTTATCATATTTTGATAACAGACGACATTGCTCTGTTTATGGACATTGGTTGGACTGTGACTTCTCTACTTGGAAATAGTTTATCTTCAAGTTTATCACGCTTATCTACAAGTTATTCGACTAAAGTGTACAAAGAAACGAAGAGAATACGTACGAGTTGCTTCAACAAAGAAGAAACTAAGGCCGAAGATGTCAAGCATTACTTTTCTTGTTTAATTATAAGCGTAGTGCTGCTGCAATGATGCATATAACATCGATCTTCATGGGTAATATCCATGGTAGTCGTTTGGCTATAGTGAATATAAATTGATCCAACGAAACTATGTCACCGCAGTTAGTGTAATTAAATCGAGAAAGGTTAGCAACACACTTGAAATTACGATATCGTGTTGTTTCAGAATGATGACGTATAACTGAATGATGATGAGAAATGAAATGTGTTACGTTTTTAGTTAATTTACTTAAAATTTATTTAAATTTTGTAAGAAATGTTTTATTATTTTGGTATTTGTTTATAAACCGCAACACAAATAAACGAATACCAATAAGGAAAAAAAATTAAACGAAATTATGTAACCGCAAAAGTAGTAGTAGGGGGAGACAAGTACAAGTACATATAAGTCATTGCACCGATACATTTCACTCATACATAATACACATAAGCAAACTACGGAAGGCTTGATAGGGGAACTTACTTACATTCGAAAGATCGTTAAAAAAAATAAAAAAACGTGATCTTAATTAAGCACAACTTTATCCATGCACATACACACTCATGCACACACACACATAGACACAGATTCATATATAGATGTATGCACATAAAAATGTACTACTAACCAATTTGTAATATTAAGACTTACCAGACATGCTTTACGAATAAGTGTAAATATGCAAGAGTTTGTATTTCATTATCACTTTTTTATCGTTGTAAAAAACACACACATATATGTATATATATGTTTATATAAATATGTATATATGTAGGCAAAAATGTAATAATCATAAAACGAAAAATATGTATAAGTGCATAAAAGTGTGTATGAGAAGATTACGTTGTATATATGCATGTGTGTGTGTATGTGTGTGTGTGTGTGTGTGTGTGTGTGTGTATGTGTAAGTGCATTAAGTTACAATTTATGTCAAACGTAAACGTAAGCGTAAATGTGAACGTCGCTTCTTGAATGTACCGCACGCTACAATAATTTAATAGATAAACAAAAACATAAGTAAAATACAAACACACGAGCGAACTTAATCAAGTCGTAACGACTTGAGCAAGCATAAGAAAACTAGAAGACCAGCATCGTACAGCAGCATATTATATTATAACAACATGAATAGGTAGAGACAGAGAAATGAATTTTAATTTATTTTTAAATTCAATAATTAGTTTAGTAAGCCAACGTTAAGTTGAAATTAAAACTCATGGAATCGTAACATTAAATAATATTGAAAAACGCACGATTTCCCCAACGCAATATAATACCATATATACGGACAATGATCAGTAGCAGTTAGATCACGTATTTTTGCATACACCATCACGAGATTATGGTAAATTAATTTCCGCATTCATCTTGTAACGAAATATTACGAAAATGATCAGCAGCAGATTTGCTATATAGCAAAGATTCCGTCAATTGTGATTAAATGATAAAATTCCAAAACACTCTAACTTGATTCATCTAAAGATCCGTGTATGACTCTCTATTTAATATAAAAATGTGAAATTGATGAACTTATCCCGTTATACCACAAGTGTGGTCCTATATATACTTTCTTCTTTCTTCTTCTTAGACTAAATATACTTTCAAGAAGAATATTAATGTAAATCGAATCGAATCAAAGAAACAAACAAAGAAAAAATGCAGACTTTAGGTAACAATTTTTGGCAAACAAAACAAGTTTTGTGCTCACATAAGGCAAACCATACGAAATGATAACATAAATCAACCAAAAGTGATGTGTGTCTAAAATTCGTCTCAAACGCGATCGACTTTAGCTTTCTTTCGCTAAGGAAAAGACTAAAGAAATTATCTTAGAGCAAAAAAAAAAAAAAAAGAAAAAAAGAAACTCGCACTGACTTCACATT